ACATTAGTCGATTTGTGTCTGCATCATAAAGTTATTCTCGATTGAAAATGTTAGTTTACGAGCCAAATTCTCGTCATTTGCGGGAGGTTTTAATTTTCTTCTTCAATATGAAGAAATTTGCGGCTGAGGTTCATCGAATGCTCTCAAATACTTATGGTGAGGCCGCTATTATTTGCTCTGTATTTGGTGGGACCAGCTCGGCGTAGTGTATTATGAGCTGTTAAACCGACTGAAACAATCACAGACGATCGGTATCGAACGCAATTGATGCGTTTGAGCCGAGCATTGAAAGACAAACGGCTGCAATACAACGAGAGACACGATAAAGTGATTTTGCAGCATGACAATGCTCGACCCCATGTTGCGAAAGTGGTCAAGACATACTTGGAAACGTTGAAATGGGAAGTCCTACCCGCCGTATTCTCCAGACGTTGCTCCCTCTAACTATCACTTGTTTTGATCAATGGCATACGGCCTGGCTGACCAGCACTTCCGGTCTTATGGAGAAGTAAAAAATTGTGGATTCGTAGATCGCCTCAAAAAATAACCAGTTTTTTCGACGCGGGATTCGTACGCTGCCCGAAAGATGGGAGAAAATAGTGGCCAGCGATGGACAATACTATGAATCATAAACGTATAACCAGTTTTTTACAATAAAGCCTCGAATTCCGGAAAAAAACGGCAGAAGCAAAGTTGTAAACTTAATATATATATATATATATACTTAATATATATATATATTTATTTATTAACCTTGTTCTGATTTATTTGACATCTAATCTTTCTTGAATAAAAATTAAAAACAATTTTATTCCAAATCCATTCTTTTATAATAAAGTTATTGTATAAGATTAAATCTCTAAAAAATAAATTTAAAAAACCTTTTGCATTTAAAATTACATTAAATGGTTGGAACACGTCACAGCTGAAGAATTTTTGATATGTAATGAGATAAAATATGTCAGGATTTCATTCATTTTTTTAAAAAGTCACGTATCTCGTTTCAGAATCGTGACATATTTTTCAAAAATATGTCACGATTTCTTCACTTTTTTTAAGAGTCACGTATCCCGTATCAGAATCGTGACATACTCTTCAAAAATATGTCACGATTCTGATACGAGATATGTGACTTTTAGAAAGTTATATCTTATTTCATTACATATCATAAATTCTTCAAACGTGACATTTTCCTACAATTCAATGCACTTTCGATTATAAGATACATCGTGTTCAAAATAAATGATAACGTAAGATATGATATAAAGTTACGAGTACATACAAGATAAATATACATGGACAGTATAAGAATATTGACGTAGCAGTTTTACGTTCAGTCAATGTAGTATTTTTGTCATAATCATATCTGTGCAATTTGTTAAATTGTTTTTATATTACGATTCAAAGCCAAGTTTAATTTTTGGAAATGATTATCAATCCGCTTAATGCTGTTAGACTTTTATTAGCATCTATAAGTTCAATGTATCTAACAGAAATACCAGTAACTGAAGCAGAAATAGAATTAAAAGAAAACATACAAAAATGATTGCTGGATAGCATTTTTCACTATAATAGGTTGGATGTAACAGAAGAAACCTATCTCAATTATCAAGAACTTTATAAACCACATAATTCTGAAATAATTGTAGATGGTGAAGAAGCATGGAGTGAAGATAATTTAAATTCTCATCCTGAATGTTCAAATGATGACACAGACTTTGACAAATCTTATAAAAGACAAGCTATTGAGTATTGGCGGAATTGGGACGTTAATGAAAAAAATGAAAACAAAAGAAATCGTCCACTAAAATCAATGCAAAATAAATTTAGAAGAGTTTCATCTGAACGTCAATTAAGACGATCGGAAGAACAATTACATTCAGGTGGAAATCGTAGAGAAAAATGATCTTACAAGTAGGGTAGCTATACCGATTCTAATTCAAGGGCTCCGATGGAGGTGAGGGGTGGGGAGGACGACGTCACAGGGGGAGGGTGGGGTACCGTCACAGGGGGAGGGGGTGACATGACAGGGGGAGGGGATGACGCAAAGGGGTGGGGGTGACGTCACAGGGCGAGAGGGACGATGTCAAAAGAGTGGGGATGACGTCACAGGGCGAGGGGGATGACGTCACAGAGCGAGGGGAGGGTGTTACAGGGTGAGGGGATGACGTTGAGAAAAAGAGAATGTCGCCACATGGTGAGGGGATGACGTCGAGGGGAGGAGAATTACAGAGTGTGCGAGGATGATGTCATGGGAAATTTGCGCAGGGAGAGGAGGGAATTACGGGGCCCGCGTCACGCGGAGGTGTGGAATACCGTTATCCCGCAGCGTTATAGGATAACGTTACGTGGGGTCAGTATTCGCCGGGCGTGGTCCCTCCGGCCGACTCCGGGCGCGGTCCGAAGCCACCATCGCGCGCGGACCGCCGCCGCCAACGCCGGACGCAATCCCTATCGCGCGCTATACTTATCATGTATACTCACATTGTATACTTACCATCTCCTACTCCCTCTCGCTCCTATGCGTTGACATCTTTTTCCAACGCAAGCTTTATCTTCATCTCGAATACAGCTTCTTGCTCGCAAAGATATTCATATATTGCATGCATGGTTTATAGCAATAATACTTTGAAGTATTTTTCATATTCTAATAATAATTCTTAATCTACTTAATAAAAGCGCGGTGGTACCGTTGATGCTCTCGCACGTGATAATGCGCACGAAGTAATGCAATACTGCGCGAATAAGGAAGGAAACAAATAACTGCCTAGTTAACATGCGTTTATTTTTCATGCAATGCATTATGTATAGTATTATCTGAGGCGTACTGATTTGCGCGAGTGGTACATGACGCGCGTCGTCGAGCCTATCCTAGCATCGCTGGAAGAGTTCCAGAAACGCGATAGCGGTTTGGCACTATCGCGTATACTAAATTTCGCGGTGCACGCGAACAAGCAGAATCCAATGCGAGTGAGATGTCATATCAAACTCCCGCGAAAAATTATGTTAAAGAAAGCGGTTATCAACGTACAATCCATGGACAATGGGTGTTTCGCATGATCAATGGTTGCCGCTCTACACTTGGCTCAAAGAAATGTGCATCGAACATCATCATATCCACACTACTCATCGGTACTGAATCTCGCGGGCATCAAATTTCCAGTGACGTTGAGTCAAATCAGAAAATTTGAAGCTCTGAATGACATTTCCATCAACGTCTACACCGATGAGAAGGGCAATGTGCAGATACGATTCGTCGAACGAAAAAGGAGCAAGCACGTAAACCTGCTGTACGTGGAGGATGACAACGCGGGACATTGCGCTGATTAAGAATCTATCTCGATTAGTCAGCTCACAAATCAATAGATATTATAACAGGATATATTTCTGCGATAGGAACGTAATAATAATAATAATCAATAAGTAATAATTATATTCGGACTGTCAATTTTCAAACAAATTAAAAGTATGAGTAAATTAGGCTAGTGAGAGTCTAGCCACGGTGAACGGCGCAATGATAGTGAAAACCATACTCAGATGTTAACTTAAAGTCTTCTGTATTTGGACGTTTCGACTCTCTTTGGAGTGATCCTCAGCAATAAAGTTACAATACTTGACTTACATGTCCTCCATGATTAAGTCACTCGCAAATTGGCAAAGATGCAGCGTTGTTAATCTAACAATTACACAATTTTCTCATTAGATAATGCCTGAGTTCACAACATTAAATGACTTACCACCATAGGACATGAAGTGTGTCGCGAAGCCATATAATAATCACAAGACATCACAATTAAATATAATAAATTTGAATGATATCGACATCTTCAACTGTCAGTATACATTGATATGTCACTCGGAATTGAGTTGTTCTCGATGTAAGAGATCAACATGTACGAAAACAAAAAGGCAAGCTTATAAACTTCAAGATGAAATCGCATGTACATTATTCCATTCGCCAATCAAAATCGCAAAAATTTTTTTATGTAAAAAATTAGAATCGTAAAAATTAAATTAACGATCAGAACAGTACCATATTAATAAATATATATAACAACTATATAAACGATTATTTCTTAAAACTAATACATTTTCGTCGAATGAATAAAATTTGAATAACTTAAATTAACATAAAACTTTTTCGTCAACAAATAAAACATGAATAATTTAAATTAACACATCCACAATTAAATTAGAAGAAACTTTCTAACATTTCT